GCATCCTCATGCACACAGAAAAGCAAATGTCTTAGCACGAAGGCCATGGAACTCTGGGCCAGTTGCATCCAAGTGTGAGGTGTACTGAGGAACTCATCCCACACAGCCTTCCAGTCTCTGAGTTGCGTGAATGTTCTCTTCTCACTGGTGGTGTCAGGAGTGATGTCATATGGAAAGAAGTCTGGATGGTGAGGAAGATAGTGATTGCGATGTCATCATTCTAGTCAAGTACTAGCCCTGGCTTTGTGGTTCAGACTAAGAAAAACACTCAGATTCCTAGCACCAACTTACTTCTGTGTAACCTCATCAAAATTAGCCAATTCTTTGATAAAAATTCTTCATAATGCTGGTCTCCTTAATTTATAACTGATCCCTTGAAAACAGATGTTTCTAACCTGTCATGAGCATATATGATGAAAGCATTCACCCTGGTATGCTGATAAGTCTCTTGTAAACCTCCAGAGGTTTACATTAAATTAAAAACATGAGTTTTTCAGTGTGTTAAGATAAACGCATTGTAACATAATTACCTAAGATTTAGAGACATGCAGAATTCTACCTAGGTCTCTTAATGTTTGTTTCTGTGCTTATGACACTTGTGAACTCTCAACTAAAAACAAAAATCTAGCCCACGGGATATAAAAAAAGCTTCAAATCCATGTAACTAGCAATTAGTCTACTGTAATGAGGCACTGTGTTCCCTGTGATAGATTTCTGAATTAAGGTATTGCATTTTTCTTTCATACAAGAAAATGAATAGATCATTGATAAATCCACAGCTCTTGTGACTCAAACTGCAGAAAATTTACAAACAATATCATATTTTGTTACTTTTTAACTTTTCTTTGGTTATAATGCTCATTTAATCCAAGAGCAGCATGTATTCTGAATGCACAGTGAGAAAAATGCCACAAATTTACAGGATTTTTGAAATGTCTGGACTATAATTTGATCATTTCAAGGCTAGCTGTGGAATGTGAAAATAAAATGTTTCTCCTTATAAATATAGAATATCTTTATCAGACTAGTCCTTTTATGAGTTATTATTATGACAAAAATATTATTAAAATAATAAATTAAGCACTATGAGGGCCAGGAATTTAGCTCAGTGGTTTGGTGGCCTGCCTTGCAAGTGCAAGGACTCGAGTTCAACCCCCCCCAAAAAATTAAGCACTATGTTTAAAAAGCAACTTTACTTGAGACATCTGAAAACTACTAAACAGGCAAAGATTAGCATGACTATGATCCTTGGAATCATTCCATACTATCAGACTACTTTTCCCCCAAGAGAATTTCCCAAATTGTGGAGTTGGGTGAGAATACAGCTAAAGCAGAAACCAGTAATCTTTATAAATTGAGAAAATAGAAATTAGATGACATGTGGAGGTCAAGAAGTAGATAGAAAACCCTTCCCAAAGGTAGAAATTTTCATTGCAGGACTTCAAAAATGAACACACAAGTCCCACTGAAACCATTTTCTATCTCCTAGATTCCACATATAAAAAAGAAAACTACAAAGAATTCAAAGAAAAGTAGGACTTGACAAAATTGATGGTGCAATTGATACAGAACAATCCTTTGAGACCTAAAACGAGCAAGATAAAGATGACCTTTTGGTCCTCTATCTGTACAATAAAAAAAGATACATAACTTTTTGGAGAAAAATGACATCATACAGAGCACCTAAAACTTTCTGACCGCAATGTCTGGCATCCAATGAAAAATGTAAAAGAAATATTATAGAAGTGGGTGGAAATGAAGAAAATAAATATAACTACAGTTACTAAACATCAACTAATTAAAATATCATCCCATGTAACAAATACATCATAGAAAAGGATTGTAAAGATGTTGGAATGAATGAGCAGACAACACTAAAAAGTATGGACAATTAAAATATAAACTGATATTTAATTTAAAACATCCATAAAATTCTAGAATTAAAAATCTGTGATTTTTTTGTTTTGTTTTGTTTTGTTTTGTTTTGTTTGCAACTGGGATTGAACTCGGGACCTTGCATATGTGAGGCAGGTGGCAGAACCACTGAGCTAAATCCCTGGCCCTAAAAGTAAAAATATAATATATGAGATATCAAAATTATTGAATACGTTAATCAGTAGAAAAAAAGCAAAAATAAAGTTGATTATTAAAAACCCGACATAGACACAAAGAAAAACAAAAGTATGTATCTCACAATCACACTGTTAACAGCAAAACCAATAGAAAATCTTGGAAGTAACCCAGCAGGTATTTTACCACCAACAGAAGACAGTGTACCTTGAAATAGTGACCTTGACATAGCAACTTCAAAGTGCTGAAAAATTGAAAAAGCAGAATTATACATTAAAAGAAAATATCTATCCAAATAAAGACAAAGTAAACAGAAGGCAATGCAATGTAATTTCTCGCACACCTCCCTGTTTAGAAAAATTGAAAAAAGTTGTAATGAAGAAAATGATTCCAAATATACATGCATACAAAACCCTTTATGCAAAAGGCATAAAGAATGAAAACACATAAAGGTAGAAGACTACAAAAATAAAAATAGAAAATAAATATTTTTTGTTTAAAATATGCATAGACGTATGTGTGATAACAATATCATGAAGAGCAGAAATAGCTACTTGAAGACATTATTGCTAATTTCCTTCTAAGTGTAGGGCTACTGAGGATGTGATTAAAAAATACCTTAAACTATTTTACAAATGTAGGGATAGGAATAAAGAACATGTGTGGTAATTTAAAACAAGTGGCAAGATATTAGACATAAAAGTTGGAATTATTGGAATGATTATTATAATTTTTAAAAATATAAAAATTGCATTAGACTAAACATTGAAATGAAAATACAAATATTATCATAACCAACTTTAAGATTTTATTATGAAATAAATGTAAATCCAAGAATACATGAATTAAAAACAAAGTGATGGAATAAAAAATAAAATTAAAAATAAAGTGATGGCACAAAAAAATTTCATGATTGTGTCAATAACAAACAAATTAGTTTTGGGCAAAATATGCTGCTAGGGATGAAATAAAATTTTACAATGATAAATGATTAAATTCATTTGCTTTTTATACATGTACCTTGGTTTATGAACTTACTGTTTTATAATTTGGGGGGAAGATGCCTACATTTGTATTTGGGTAGAATTATGTGGGCAGGACTAATTTTGATTTCTTATTTAAGGTAGTGGCTACTAGGTCTTAAGTTTGACTTTTACTTTAAGTAACAATTTCAGAATATATTATACATAGTTTCTAATATATATTTTTCTACAGTATATTGTCAACTATTGATACTTTATAGCTGTACCATTTATTCTATATGAGCCAGCATTTGACTGTATAAAAGGATTTACTTTTTCCTTGTTTATTTTCTTTTTAATTATATATCCATACAAATATAAAAATGTATCTTGTTCCATTATAGTAATTATAAGCATTAGTTTTTATCATATGGTTGTTTGTTCCAGATTTTTCCAGATGAACTTCCTTTAAGACATTATTATTCCTTTTTGACAATTACTACCATTTTATTTATTAATTATCCAATATACTAAAGAAGTTTAATGCTGAGTTCTGGGCCAAGTACAGATATGGTTTCCATGTGCAGTTCATTCCTATGGGTGAAACTGATTTTGATCAAAACAGGAAAAATGAATTTTGTAAAGGTGCAAAGAAAACTGATGTTGCAGCTCATTTGTGGAAGTATTTAAAAGTCTACAAGTGAAAAAATATAACATTTAAATTTCCCAACAAGGTATAATTTATGAGGAAAACAAATGTGCCTGTCAAATGTAAGATGGTGTTTCTTTGCTGGTCTACTATTAGTCTTAAAATGGTAATAAGCAGAAAATGTTCAAGTTTTCCTGGAAAGCCTAAGTGCTGGAATTTAGTTCAGCTACCTTTATTCACATATTTTGTCTGGAGGTCAGTTTAAGGGCTCCAGATTTTGCATATGCAGCTCTCCTGTGGCCTCTCTTTAGAACCAATCTGAGCTTTTCCATAGCATGATGGTTGGCTTCTGTAGGTAAGTGCTCCTAAGCGGAGAGACTCCTCTTCCTCTTTCCTGCCATCCTATCTTGGTTGGAACTGTCATTCACCCCTGCCTAAATTCAAAGAAAACAGGCTCCACTTCTTGGAATTAATGTAGTTGTCTTGAAATGTAAAAACATTATATCTTTAAATTTACATACATCTGATCTTCCTTACTTTCTTGAAATTTATTGTGAAGATCAGAGTCCACCAATAATCTAGTAATAAATTTCATTTCATTCTTTTATATTTGCTGTGCCTATTGTCATTAAAATCAGGAGACAAGCATATTTGAAAATATTGACTATAGAAATGCATGATAACTATAGTTGTACATGAGAACAAATACTACTGACTGACATATATGGAAGATAATCTTGTGCTAATACATTAATTACCACCATGTTGCATATCATTTGGTATAATGGCATAATCATATAAGCATCAGGACAATTATAGATTGCAACAGCTTTGTGTTCTAAAAATCTGATACTTTGAAGTAAAAAAATAGAATTTCACTCATCTACTCGAGAAAAAATAAAATATAGTTTATTTTTTAAATTGAGTACATTTGCAAATATTGATATTCACTGTAATTCATGGTTAAAATTTATATCAAACTAAAAATGATTATGTGAAAGTTAATATAATTCATCTTTTATCCCTACTTGTGCAATACAGTAATTGAAATGTTTAAGAGACATGATACTGTATATTCTTGAAGTTTTATACAGAATGAACTGTTTATTAAATCCTATTTCATTTTTATTGCAAATTTTATAATGCTCAACAGAAATCATTATAATAATATTGCACAATAAAATGACTTTTCCCAAAGGAGAATATGCTTTCTTACTATGTTGACAATTAACATCTCACACATTTTAAATATTAACTATCAGTGCTTAATCTAGAAGAGACAAATTAGCTTTTTAAAGTTATTTTTATGCTTTCATTTACTATTTCAATAAATGATGTTTCTTTTCTGAAGCAGAAAATATCTTTCTAAACACTGCTCTGAGGCTTGTTTAACTTGCTGATTCCTCAGAGTATAAATGAATGGGTTCAACAAAGGGGCAACTGAAGTGTTGAGCACAGCTATTCCTTTGCTTAAAGTAACTCTTTCCTTTGCTGATGGCTTTATGAGGATGAAGATGCAGCTGCCATACGTTAGAGAGACAACAATCACGTGGGAAGAACATGTGGAAAAAGCTTTTTTCTTTTGCTGAGCTGAGGGGAATTTCAGAACTGTCTTGATGATGTGAGAGTAGGGAAGGATAACTAATAATAAGGTGACAATGAGTGTCATCACAGCTAAGAAGAAAGCCGTGGATTCTAGTAAATGTGTGTCTGAGCAAGACAGTTGCAGGATGGGAGAAACGTCACAAATGAAATGATCGATGGCATTCGAAGCACAGAAATCCAATTTGAGACCCAGTATCAGTGGAGAGAAAATAACCAGGAATCCAGTTAGCCAGGAACTCAGGACAAGCTGATGGCAAACTTTGTCGCTCATGCTGGATGCATATTGCGAAGGTTTGCAGGTGGCAACATAGCGGTCATAGGACATAACAGCCAAAAGAAAAAATTCCGTACCTCCCAAGAATATGTAAAAAAAAAAAAGCTGAGTTACACAACCATTATAGGAAATTGTCTTTTCCCTGGTTACAATGGTGTTTAGGAATCTGGGAATGCAAGCAGTTGTGAATGAAATTTCAAGTAAGGAGAAATTACGGAGGAAGAAGTACATTGGGGTCTTGAGATGGGAATCCAGCAGAGTGAGGGCAATGATGGTTAAGTTCCCTACCACACTCAACACATAATTTAGAAGAAGAAATAAGAAAATTATAATTTGTAACTGAGAATTATCTGTCAACCCCAGAAGGATAAACTGTATCTGTCTTGTATGGTTCCTCATTTCTCTTTTGTGATTTCAATGAAATTCTATAAATAAAAATTCATAAAGTCAAACTACACGGATAGGCATATACCCAAGAAAAAAATCGATGCTCCTCATCATTCCTATTTAAAAGGTGATTCTCCAAAAATGTGAAAGCTTTGATATATGACTCTGAGACAGAAACTTTTCACTGAAATTTAAAAGTTCTGTGGAAGTGAATTCATTTTGGAAATAAATCTGCAAATCCAATACCGGTTGATTGTTTTCAGCCTTCTGGTTCAAACTACCAGTTATTTGTAAGTAATTTAAAATGTGTTCGATTGGTAAATAAGTTAAATAATACTATTGTATCAGGATTCAAAAAGTACCAAGTTAAAAATCAATTTTACCTAAAGATAGTCATGCCAGGATAATGAATTAAGACCTACAGTTAGATCCTGAACTTTTAAATTTCAAATTAAACTGACTATTCCAACAGTCCAACTTTTACTTTTTGCAACTTCTCTATGAGCTGTTGATAGACATAAATGTGCTAAAAATGTGTTAATATCACAAAAATAAGTACTGTTTGAATCTAAGGAAATTGAAAAAGAACAATTACGTATATATATCCACATTTATGAAACAAAACAAAAGAATCTGCTTATTTTGCTAAATGTAACAAAGTTCAAAAAATAAAACTGGAAACAGAACAGACCCTGCATGCCCTCACCTTCTCTACCCAGTTATAGGTATTTAGATTTTAAATACCTGTTTTCCACATGTAAGGCTCTGAGAGTGTTACAGAGTGAATAATAAAGCAAGAGTATAGCAAACATGGGAGCTTATTCAGAATTATAAAATGGATTTAACACTAAAAGATAAAAGTTTGAGCAACTCTTTTATTGCTTAACAATGAATTTCTCAAAGTTAAACTATCTCAAACCACAATAACATGGCTAAATCAGGAGTTCAGAATTGAAGCCAGAAATCTCACATAACTTTTATTTTATCACTTACTTATTACTGGGTATATGTTCCTTGGAAAATTAATTTCCTTATTTTAGTTTATCTCTAAAAATACAGTAAAACAGTTTTGATCTCAGTTGCAAAAATCAAATGAGGTGTGCACAGAGGATATCAATGTCTAATGATTGCTTATAACCAGGAAAGAGACCAGTCTCTATCCACAGACAATGTCATCAAGTTTGTCTTTTTTATAAAGTTAGAGAGCTGCAGTTGGGCCCAGGATCCCTGATCACAGAAGTCTGCTGAGCCCAGTGAGAGGCTCTGGATATAGAAATAGGTTCCATTTTAATTATGAAATAAATCAGGAACTTTCTTTAAAATTTAATAATAAAACAGACTTTTCTTTTGCCAATTTTTAGCATTCAATAAGGACAGAATAAGTTTTAAGTTCTTGGTTCCAAAAATGAACATATTTGAGTGACTTCTTCAAGTCCACTTTTAAGATACAGCGAAGGACAACTGAAGGGAATACAGTAGGAAACACTGTTTGTAGCATAATTGCTTAAAACAACTAGGAATAAACTGATGTTACTAAAACACAGATATTAATTTTCAATAGCTCTGCTTATGAACTTTCAAAATTAAAAAATGAATCCTGCTGAATCAGTATTTGTCTAATTTATGACATTTTCCAAATTCTAGTGTAATATGGAAAATTATACGATGTGCACGTTATAAAATATAGCAAATCTGTTTCAAATTCCTATGGAGCTCACAATTATTCAATAGGATGCAAAGATGGATAAAATTGCTCAACTTGAAAGTATGGCTTCTATGTTTTTAGATTATACATTAGAAACCCTTTATATAGTAAAGTCAAAATCCTAGTATACTTTAAAGCATGTATAGCTTGGAAAAATACAGTAAAAGTCAAACCTCTGATAATCCCAATAAAACATGTAAAATGTTTGTGGTTAGAAGACAGTGATAAATGAGAGAGTGCAGAAAATCAAAATGTTTTTAAACTTAAAAATCTAAATCCAGACACATTGCATGCTTATAATCCCTGGCTACTCTGGAGGTTGAGGCAAGAGGATAGAAAGTGGAGGCCAGCATGGATAACTTAGTCCATCTCAAAATACAAAACAAAAAAAGGACTGGGAGTGTACTTCAGTGGTAGAGTGTTGTTTAGCTGAAGCCCTGGATTCAATCCTTGTTCTCATAGAAAATTGAAGGGAGCAAATTTTAAAAATATAATGACAGCCATGCACTTACATTTTTATGAAAATAAAATTAGTTATTAAGAAATAGTATAAACATGAGTGTGCATATATCACTGTTCTTTTAATTCTTTTGGAAAGATACCCAGCAGAGGGATGGCTGGGTCAAATTGAACCTGGTATAACTAACAATGTGAAATAGGAAGAAAAGGGCTAAAAGTGTAGGGGAAAGGAAATAAGGGAAAAGAAAAAATATGAGAAAAGGAAAAAATAGAAACAAAGTCTTTGTAAATAGAAAAGGGTGGAGGGGGTGAAGGGAGGGCAGGGATAAGGAGAAAAAATGAGAATCAAGACCTGTCATGTAAAGGTACAAGATCCCAGTGATGAATGTAGCTGTACTGTGTACCTAAAATGTACCAATAAACTCAATGAGAAACCAAAGAAATAGAGTAAAAAAATTCTCAAGTAATTCTCAAGTATTACTAGCAAACTACAAAAATAGATATATTGAAAATGAGTTTTTAAATCTATGTACTAACTTCAATAAATTGAAAACATTTCAAAGGCTGTTTAAGCAAGCTATATAAGGTCTAAGAATAAATAATTTTCATTTGTTTGAAATATTTCAAGTACAGAGAAAAATTAGAGGTTGCAAGCTATGCCCAAATAACTAAGTCTTAGAAAAGAAACCAAACATAACTTAAAAGACAAGTGTAAAAGTATAAAAATGAAAAATAAACACACCATAGTATGTTTGCTTGCAATAGACTATTTTACTGCTAATAAAATATTCAAGCTATCATTAATGGGAAATATGAATAAATCTTAGATACAGAATATTAAATTCAAAATAAAACAATTGAGTCTATACAGTACATATAGTACTGTACCACATACAGTACAATGGGATTGATTGGTACATAAGTACATACAGACTCAGAAAAATATTATGGAGAGGTGTAAGTGTATGTATGTGTGTATTTGTGCTTGTATGTGAAAATATACTATGATTGTTGAAAAAACTGTCTTTTCTAATGATTATTTCCATTATGAATGCCTAAATGCTTCTAGTTACTGCATATACTTTTTTATTCATTGTTTATTGGTACATTTTATGTATACAATATAATGACATTTGCAGTGGAACTTGACATAAGAGTATCCATCTTGTAAGAAACGTAAGGACATCTGAGTCCCAGGCAGACCAGTCATCTCAGGACAAGAAATGCAAGCAATTCCGTCTGAGTGCCTGGCAGACCAGTCGTCTCAGGATAAGAAGTGCAAGCAATTCTTGTTTGTCCCTTGTTAATCTCCCAAGAGGATGTAGACAAAGTAAAAGATGTGTTTTTTTCCAGCTTTAATTGAGTTTATTGGTACATTTTAGGGATACAGTACAGTTACATTCATTGTTGGGATCTTGTACCTCTACATGACAAGTCTTGGTTCTCCTTTTTTCCCCTTGTCCCTGCCCTCCCTTCACCCCCTCCTCCCCTCCCCATCTACAAACACTTTATTTTCATCTTTTCATTATCTCACATTTTTTTCTTTTCCCTTATTACCCTTCCCCTACCCATCCCACCTTCCCTACACCTTTAGCTCCTTTCTTCTCATTTCTAAATGACAGTAATCTTATTAGGATCTTATGTTTTATTGCCGATTATTCACACCAGGGAAACTATTAAGGGGTTAGAAGGACAAAGTAAAAAGCAAAGTTGTTTTTGCGAACACAGCTGGCCAAAATATTATATAACTTTAGATATAAGATAAAATGCTAAAAACATGCTTTTCCTGTGATGCTCTGAATAGCTTCAGTAAATATTGCAGCTGTGATCATGAGGCTTCTCTTTGCCTGAGCGAGCTGCAGTCCTCTGATCCTGCTCCTCACATCTTGCCTCTCTTCATTTTGCGTCACCAACTCACTCGGGGAATCGGCGACAGACATTCGTCGTTTGGAATTTGTACCTTTACATGATATATCTTCGTTTTTATTTTTTCCCCATTCCCTGCCTCTTTCCAGCCCTCCACCCCTCCCTATTTACAAAGACTTTGTTTCCATTTTTTCTCATATTTTTCCTCGCCTTTATTTCCTTTTACCCCCAGCATTGCCCCTGCCCCTTCCCCTTTTTGACCATATACTTGAAATTTTTATAATATTAAAACATGGTGCAAAATATTTTGATTCAGTTTTATATGAGAAGCTATAATGTTATCAATACTATAAAATTATTTACTTCAATATGAGAAAATGAAAAAATGGAAATAAAGTGTTTGTAAATGGTGAGGGAAGGAGGGAGTGAAGGGAGGGCAGGGACAATGGGAAAAAATGAGAACCAAGACCTGTCATGTAGAGGTACAAGATCACAATGATGAATGTAACTGTATTGTATACGTAAATGTACCAATAAACTCAATAAAAAATTTATTTACTGCATAGTGAAATAGAATAGTTTTAATTTAAATCATACAATGATAATCCAAAAGTTTAACTGTCTTCTTTTTTGTGTTATTTTATAAACAGAATATAAGGCCAAAGGATTATCCCAGAGAACATCAATTTATATTTTATCACCTCATAGATTTCATAATTCAAGCAATATCAGGCTTTCTATGTAGAGCAAGGTCATGTGAGGAGGCATTAATAAATTCCTAGAGGTACTCTTTCATCAAAACCAAGATTATGAAAGAATATTGATGATCTCCACTATTTTACTACAAATCGTAATTATAAAAAAATTATAAATTCAAATAAATATCTGATTGGTAGGTGAAGTAAATATACTTTCTGATGATTCAGTTGATTCCTTAAAAATATACAATAATAAATGGAAAAGATTTCCAAAGTACATTAGT